TTCCTTTATATTATGGCCTTACTCTGTTTTCTGCAGAAATTTCACCCATATTAATCAACAAAATTTGGTTTCCTTTCACTGTAAGTTGGCTTAGTTTTAGAAGAATACAAAACAATTCTAAAATGAAGAAAGATAAACCATCAGCGCTCACAAATTGTTCAATATCTGTTCTTCAGGAGGTTCGTCCGCGGCTGCGTTTTCCGGAAACCAATTCGTCAATTTACTCAGTCTGTTAAATAATCCAAACGAGCCTGCTGCCCTGAAAATGGTAAGAAATTTCGCTTAAATTATGATTAAATAGTCCTTAATTATCTTATTCCCCAGAGGCGAAGCGAATTTTGAATGGTAAATTGTTTTCATCAAATCTCAGCTCTATGCACGGTGAATACAGGACGTGATTTTTCTTTTTTAGGATACCATCACTCTCATCAGTAATTCGCTTCTTTTATGAATGAGGTCTCTTTTATTATCATCGATCCTAAAGTCTCATGGTACAAAAGCCAAGTATTAAACAAGGTGAAAGAAAATTTAACATTTTTTAGTGCACATTCCTTAACTCTGGTAAAACCTAAACTTCGTTTACTTTCGACACATTAAACTATAAAACAAGTTTTGTCTACGATGACCTCGTCAGTCAGAACAATACATAAAATGTAATTGTCAATTTTAGCTCACGGTTCATGCAATAGGTGAAATATGTTGTGCAAACAAAGAAAATCAGGATAAGGCAAGGTACGTCATTCATTTTATGGTGCAAAAAGAAATGGCTGAGGTTAAGCCGATCTCTGTTCGAATCAACGGATCGAGTCGTCATTATTAAAATTCCGGCTATACTTAACCTCTCCGTTTATTCCTACTGCTATCTTTTTGGCTTGAGTTCCAATGACCCTTACATTCTACTGAATCATCTCACTGTAGATAAAGCTGAAAGAAAAAGGCATAGCATAAAAGGATTAAATAAAGTAATGATTCTCACAGGTGGAATGCATTTTAAACAATTGCAGCTTAAATAAGCTTAAAAAAATTCAGGCTTTTGCTTCTAAAGTTTCTCAACTAGTGTCCAGGAGGCACGGGTTTAAATCCCGTCAAAGCAAATGACTGAATTGAAGTCCACCTGTGAAAGTCATTTCGTTATTTCATTTTCATTTCCACGCCAAATGAAATTTATTTTATACAAACTTGTGATATGAGGATAAATGTGCAAAGAAATAAGAAAGTTTGTGAATTTTGAGCTCAGTCGTTTAGGTAATAGAGATATTACTCGTTTTGTCTCGGGAGAAGGAAAAAGTATAGGAACGGAACGCGAAATCGAATGGTCTGCGGTTCTATTCCTATTGCAAGCTTACGAGAAAACTAATATATCTTTTTGTATAGGAGTTGATGCAAATCATTAGTCGTGGTATGCGCTTCAAAAAAATAAATATGTTTTGATATTTAAAAGGAACCTATTTATGGAGCATATCTAAACCAATGCAATGCGTTATTGTGATAACCTTTTGATTTCAGAATGTATGGTCTTGTTGAGAAACTTACTGAGTTTCTAAGCACCACAGACAGTGCTCCAGACTTTTCTGCTCTGGTAAGGCGAACTATTAACCTTTGCAGTTGAGTGCTGAAATTTGTCTGTTTTTGCGTTAGTTTCCCCTTACCACACATTGTGATTGTTCGAGAAATCTTGTCTCTTACCCATAAAGAAAAAAAGATTCATTAAGTCGCATTCAGTTTAAGTTTTTTTCTTGTTAAGCCAATCGCGACTTGGTCTTGCGTGTTTTTTCGCGTCAATATTTTATCTCCGCTTCACCAAAATTTATCTGCAAGGCATGATGAGAAATAATTCTGCTTAGAACTAACCCTGCTCTCTCTTGTCTTTTTGTGATATTTCCTTGTTCTAATTGGTTATCGTGGTTACTTAAGTCTATAGACACTCGATCGTTCAGATAATTATCTGAAATCGTGCATCGGATAAGCTTCTATCAGTAACTGTCGAACAAAATCGTAGGAGTACCAGGTGAACGTCTCGGGTAGCACCTTGTACTTTTGGGTGATTCACAACTCTCTTGGAGGGCAAATGTAACGGTGGCGGCTCAGGGAATATAGGAATCCTCTACACCAATCATAAAACAACCCGCATATGTAAAGGCCAGTATAGTGAGGCCTTTGGAGACGTGCTGGTTGCCGGACTTTTTTTTTTTTTATAGAAAATTCTCCTTCAAGCTCAGCCAAACCATAAAATGAACCACGGACTCGCCATCTTTTTAACGCCAACTGTGCATGTTCTCACAGTCGCTAAATACAAGGGATCTGGACCCTAATATATCACAACTAACCTGTCTGAATGATATCTCAAAACAGTGGAGTTGTGGTATATTGTATTTTGAGTGACAGTGTAACTTTTATATTCTAGAGACGTTCTACGGCTGCTTGCCTGCTGACCCTCGTGTGTGAAAATCTGGAGAATCAGAAGGCTCTCCTTCGCACAGACAAGCTACAAGTAAGTGACTCGACAAACAATTGATCTCAATAGAACGCAATTTAACTATGGCGATTCCTGATTTTCCAATATTTTTTTCTATTCCCATATGATTGGCAACTTAATTTTTTAATTTCAAAAAGGAAATTGATGGAACATGCATTATGCATGTTAGTCACCCATGCCATTTTGTA